CCTACGGCAGCAGCGTGCGTACCAGACCTCGGTTGTCATGGTTACCACAATAAACAGCGACAGCGGCGTACCCATCGTTGCCTTGGTTACTATAAAAACGGTCATGGCTTGGTTAGGTTGAAGAAAAGATCATGATTTTAGGGTCAAATAAGTACTTCCTCAACATCAGACGATCTTTGTCACCATGGTTACAATAATAACAACGAGCAGTCATGGATAATAGAAACAACATGGGAATTGAACACCGCTCTCCTGTGTCACATCCACCTCCTCCTCCTCCTCCTGACGTGGACTCCGTCTCTCTTCATAAGTGTCACTGACACTTTTCTCTTCGCTCCTGTCATCATCACTACGACCACTAGAGGTCGCCTAGCAACAAAACCTAACTATGACGTCACAACAACCTGCTGACAGTCGACCTGAGGGCTCGGTCTCCTCTGGATGTAACGTTGTGTTTTTCTTGTGTCTTCCTGCCTCTGCAACATGTTTGTTTGGGGTTATGTCAGACAGCCAATCACAACCAGTCTTAGGTCTCGGTACGAGCATGCTGCCGGCTCATTGGCTCACCGGTGCTGCTGAGATTTATTCCTCTGGTGCTGAATGACCAGGCATTGGTCAGCCAGGCCTGTATGTAGGTGAAATGTCATGTTTGCTCTGACAGATAACCTCGTGGCTTCTTTCTCTGTTGCTATAGAAACAGAGATGATTCACTGTTTGTGAGTTAATCAATACTTTAAATTCCTCTGTTTGAGACAGAACCTATCGCACCTATCGGTGAGATAGGCTGCACCTTTGCTCAGGTAGTGAGGCAAGTGAAAACAAACAGGACCTCCTCCAGTCTCTGTGTATGTGAGGCAGCATTTCATCTCTGCATGAAGAGAAGCTCCAACACTGGGTCAGAAAACATCTGTGCAGCTGTGCGTCCACATGCACGTGCTGGGTCAGTACAAAGACAGCTGCTGCTGATTATAAATGAATATGAACAATGTCCTTCAGACCACATGAAAGGTAGTACAGGACCACACCTGAGTGGGTAATGTACATAAGGTAAAATATACATCCCAATGATTCCTTCATCCTTCGCTCAGTGACGACGTTCACAGCTCGGGGGGGGGGGTCTAATGAAGAAGGTGGAGGAGGAGGATGAACAACCATGTTGTAAATCATGTTACATGTTACATGTTACATTACAGGACTGTTAAAGCTACAACAGGAGGAAATGAATACCTGGGGGGTGATGAGCTTCAGGAGGAGAAGCAATAATCACTGTGTCCCCAGGCAGGCTTTTAGTTTCCACTTCACCTTCATGTTCCAGCCCCTAACCCTAACCCCCCCCCCCCCACGGCAGGAACAGCCAAACACACACAGAGCTCTCTCTGTTTCTGTGTCATTAGCTCTCAGTGCAGGTACAGGTGCTGGTGGGTCTGTAGTGTTGGGGAACACAGGCAGAGCTCTCAGTGACGACAGGCTCTGATACATAACGAGGATCTACTTATGCAACGCCCCAAAAAAAGGAACTTTAACGACGTGGGCTGAACACATAGTTCTGTTAACGAGAGTCCTCCGGCTCTGTTCTACAGTGCTCACACTGTCTTTGAGGAAATGTGTGAGGACACCACACAGAGGAGGCCACAGTCAAGGAAGATTTCTTAGACTGAGGGAATTTACCTGATGCTATATTTGCTATAATCCATTTGCCTGCTAACTCACTGTGATCTTTCTCTGGGGTATTTTTATGCCCATAATGTTTCTGTTGTTGTGCTATAAAAACAGAGGCTCACAAGACTGCTAAGACTTTGGAAACGTGAGATGAGAACCGAGAGGGCGGCAGCAGAGGGCAGGTGAGAACATATAGACCATCTCATCCTATAGATGATCTCAGGTGGGAAACAGGTTGGACAAGAAAAACCCTGCGGCGTTTTCTCACTGGGTCAAAACACAAACACACCTCAATACCCTAAAGCAATTTAAACAGCATTTAATTAGCTCAAGACTAATCAACAGCACAAACCATTAATTATGCAATAATCAGGCGAGTACATGCATTAAACAAAACTTTATTGTACCTGCTCAGAGAATTGTAATGTCTCTCAGTTCTATTGCTGCAGATTACAGTGCAGTGTAAGAGAGTATCTTCCCCAGCTGGTCATTTGGCTGCAGCGTTATCTCCTGAGTGCTAATCACATTACATAATAATAATCTTCAAACGCCTGTGAAACTAATAAGCATATGACAGAGGGACAGAAGGAGAAGATGACAAGATATGAAGCTGTTTGTCTTGAGCGTGCAACGATCATAATCCAAGTTTTATTTTGCCCCTCAGGTAGTTTTACAGAATATGTAATTTACACAAAGATGTCCACTGATTTGGATAAACAACAGTGAGTTTAATCAGTTTGCGACCTGCTATGAGAGCTGTGTTACCACAGAAACCACAGTCAGCATCTCAACATCTCATGACCCGAGCTGAAATCTAAATACACATCTGCAGTGAGCCGTCATTACTGACAATCTACCTGGCTGGAAATATGCACCCTCACACAAAACACCCTCAAGCACACACACACACACACACACACACACTTTCTCCAGGGATGCTGATGTCAACAGCCTGAGCTAGCATACCATAAACACAGTAAGATCCCTGCTGCTGACTGTGCGGGCGAAGAGGCGGCACACACAGTCTGCTCTAAGCACTGCAGCACTAAGACGTCCAGCTGAGCAGATCCACATACAACCTGGACCTGAAACATCAACGTTAGCCCTGGCCATTCCACAGCACGGCAGAGTTATTAAAGACAAGAGTAACAGAGTGAAGCCCCCCCCAGTCTGCTCACACACAGCCGCTCTCTGTGCCTAAAATCACTGCTGCCTTGGAAACCTTGGGATTACTGCAAGGACTGCATTCCCCGTTCCTGTGTTGCCACTGGGACGTGTGAGAGTTGGCACGGAGGAGAGAGAGGCCGACGGCGACGCGCTAAAAAGGGTTCGCATTAGTAATGAAGTCTAGGCGGGTGCTTACATGGTCGATAGTTTGTAGGAAAGAAAACCAACGTTTAAGCAAGTAATCACCTGACGTGCAAGACTGTAATCAGATCTAGTAATTACTGAGGATTAAAGGCTGCCTCATTCATGGATTTAATTCTGAATTTGATATTCATTCGGAGTGCTCTTGAATTTAAATGACTAACTAAGGATATCTGGATTCCTCAGTCACATTTCTGTTCCACTGGCCCTCAGGAGGAAGAGAGGAGCACCCTGTTATGACTAGCTTAATGTTCTCCTCCTCTCGTCCTTCTTACTATATGTTACTCTAAATCTATCTGTGCAACACCTGAACCCTTTTAAAACACTGATCAATGTGAAAGTGACGATCCTTCAGAATAAAACAGTACAATCAGTGAGCTAATCTTTTCAGTCAAATATTTAGACTTGTGTTTAACATCAGTTTGTCTGTTCTTGTAAAGCATGAATACTGTGAAGATAATACAGGCTGTGTACTGGTGAAAGTTTTACTTATTAATGAGACATTACGTAGTTCTAATCGTCGTTATAATAATAACTAAAACATGAGCCCTCAAATCTGTTTCCAAAGCTTCCAGGAAGCAGAGGAGGAAATAAAACACGACTGGTTTCAGACTGTGATGATCAGGGAGCGAGTCGGCAGCACAGTGATTACTGACAGGGTCAGTCAGAGTGTAATGTTAACAGGAGGAGCTCAGGTGTCGGACTCGTACAAACTATAGTTTAAAGGTATTAACTTACTTATTCAACCAGCCATTATGAATGAGATTATCTGCTCTACCAAAAAACACAAAACAAACACACACACAGCCATCTTAGGTTCTATATAGTCAATACAGAAAGACACGTATCGTCTGCAGGCCACACACTGGGTGGTTAGCTGCTCCTGACTCACCAACCTGGATAAAGGAGGCACGTTAGCTGAACTGTTAATCCCATTTCACAAACCTGTGCATTGTTACCTGCTCCGTGCTTCTGAGATTAAACAAATTCATGAGCGGCGTTAATCTACCAGATGTCAAACCTGTGTGCACGTGCTTTGCTGAACAACTACGATCACCCTTTCGAAAAGGGGAACTGTAGAATGTAATCACAGATGTAACACATCTGTATTATGATAATGAACTATTTTACACCTTTACAGAGACTGTTACCTCGGGATCGACCGTGTTTTCAGAGGATTTTAAATATTGAGTCACACTTATTGGTCAATTGACATGACACTGACAAACCCCCACTGATTATTTGTACCAGTAAATTATTATTGACATTAACAACATTTCCTCTCAACTACAGAGAAAGTCATGTTTTTTTTTATTTCACATGATTATAAATATAGTCAATCTGGGTTTATACCTGTTACCTTGACAACAGACAATTCTAAGTTACTTAACCATCTGATCATGTGGAGTTTTCCAGATAGATAACTGGATTAATTAATAGTTTAATAATGGTTAGTGAAGCCTCAAGAAACAGGGAGAGAGAATTATAATTCCATCTTTTTAAATGTTGAGGAGAAAGCAGCTCGTTACAGTCACTTTCTTTATTTCTTACTCAACATTATTAATGTTGAGTAACGTTGACATCACAGTCCAACTTCACTGCTTTAGGTTAGCTAGCTATGTTGCTCTTCAACAGCGGAACACATCTTATCTACCGACCACATAAAACATAGTTTAAAAACAATCTTTATAAACCAGTTATATCAAGTAAACAAACAAAAAAACACATTTTCAGGCTCTTCTTCTGAGTTAGAGGTGAAGTCAACACTGAACCGATGTTAGCTCTGTGGCGGGGATGGTTCATTGACTGACGGATATAATGCGACAAAAGAAACCGAGAAAACCGACGTGACGGACGGTGTGACAATCATGAGACGTGGTTCTCCTGATGTTCACACTGTCATTTGTCTGACGTGTGGTGGTTAAAGTAGATGGAGGTGTAGAAAGAGGTGTAGATGTCGGGCTAAAGCTTACCAGCACAGGAGAGCTACAACGAGGCACACCAACAAAACGCGCAGCCTCTTCATTATCTTCCCGCGGGGACCAACATCCTCGCTCTTTGGGTTGTTTCTAATCTCTCAGGCTTCACAATTCACCGAAGACGAGCTCGGGGCCTGTTTAACTTTCACACGGACAAACGACTGTCTTCTCCGGCTAAAACCTACTCTTGAGGTGTGCTAATGTTCATTGTGCGGACCAGTTGTCCGCCTCTTTTTCAGCTTCAGTAGCTACTGCTGTTGACGGCTAGCTGGCTCTTGGTAAGTTCAACCCATGCTCGGGTCCGACCAATCACATCGCAGCTGAGGATTTGTCGACCAATCGTAGGAGATGTAGCAACACGATGTCTGAGAAACGCCCCGCCCCCCCCCCGGACTGAGGATGAGTTGGTGACTGTGGGGCAGGACGCGTCATCTACTTATTGATAAGGAAATTAGAAAAGCATGAAACGAGAGTTGTTGCACAACCGTCTGATGTAAAACGTTTCAATATAAAAGACTGAAGTGTCGCTGATTGTGGCTTTGTAAAATAAAATACACGGAATCTCTTTGTGAGGAGTGGGTGAGTGCTGTAAGGAATCTGAACACTGTGTACTTTTTCCCTCGATACCGAAAAACACATTCAAATAGTATTAAAATGGACATTTCAAAAAATCATGAAAAGATATTTAAATTAGAGTCATTCGTTATGAAAGCTCCAGACTCAATACAGCTGTTATTATTCTGTCTATTTCTCTTTTAACCATGTTTCATTTTTTGACATCAGAAAATAGTACAATGTTTGTTTTTTTAAAGTTAAGATTGTATTTATTTACACAAGGAATAGTATAGAACATTATGACCTTCTTGTTTATAACAGTGTTAAGTTCTCTTATGAATACAGGAGCTTTTTTCATCCCACTTATTCATTTATCTTTTGTATGTGACTTATTGGATTGAATTGTGGTTTTTGTTTTTCTTTCTCATTTATTAATAAATGAAATTATTAAATAGGGCTGTTGTATGTATTAGCTTTGTGTTGGTGGATGTGCGTCATAGGGGTTGTGTTGTGTATTGTGAGTCTCATTGTGAGTATGAATGATATGGATGTGTATTGATGTATCTGTTGTTATTGAAGTATTGTTTATGAATTGAAGGGGACCTCAGGCAGAGGAGCCATTGTTATAGCACAGTGACTAATGTGGATCTAACTAACTAACTAAATAAATAAATAAATTTAAAAAATGAGATAAATTAAATAAATAAATAGAGATAATAGCATTTAGTAAATTCCAAGAGTTATTCAAATTAAAGTGTCATAAAAATCCCATGTTTTGTTATTCCCATAGACTGGTGGAATCTATATTATATACAAATCTTGTCCCTCTTAAAACATCAATAAAAAAATAAATAAACAAAAACACTTCTTTATATGTTGTTAATGATGTCTTCCTTCTTTAATTGTAGTTAGCTTCTTGTGTTGGTCATTTACGGTTGTTATCGAAAGAATTAGATTATCTGAATACACTCTATGTTCTGTCTATTTACCCCACATACACCACAAGAACTACATATCCCAGAATGCAATTCGAGGATGGTCCTAAAAATGTGCCTGTAGCCTTTTTGTTTTTAAATAATATCTAATGTATATCGAATGATAAATACGATATAAAATGATTTAAATTAATATAACTTAAAATACGGTAGTGAATGGACCCAATGTTGTTTTAAGTGATTAATGAAACGTGTTATTGATTTAAAGCGGGGGTCCTGAAGTGTCGACAGTCATCTGTTCTGAGAACAGTTGAACAGAAGAGAAGTTTGGGTGAACACAGCCCGCTGCCTCTCCGCCCTCCTCCCGACACAGTGGCGGGCTGCCCTCGCACCGTTTCTGTTGGACTCTTAGGCTCGACCATGGAGGTAGTCCCGGGGTTTCTGTGTGTGCTGTCCGTGTTTGTCGCTCTAGTCTCGGAGAGGTTTGTGGCGCTGGCCGCCTTCTCCCAGTCCATGGACAGCGACTTCACATTCACTCTCCCCGCCGGTCGGAAGGAGTGTTTCTACCAGACCATGAAGAAAGACGCTTCACTGGAGATTGAATATCAGGTGACAAACACTCACATCTGCAATAATGTTGTCAGAAATTATAACGTGAGCTTATCAAACCGTGTGTGTGTGTGTGTGTGTGTGTGTGTGTGTGTGTGTGTGTGTGTGTGTGCGCGCGCGCGCGCGCGTGTGTGCACGTGCTAACTCTGATTGAGACTCGTTAAACCTGTTGATTGTGTCTTTTATTTTGGTCACTGTTCATGTTTTCTGCACGTTCTGCTTCTTATATAGACACTCACACAGACAGCGCTGTGTACTGTCATGTTGAATGAAATCACATCTATTGTGCCAGAGGTGTGTGGGGCAGGTGTGTGAGGAGTGGGGCAGGTGTGTGAGGTGTGGGGCAGGTGTGTGAGGTGTGGGGCAGGTGTGCAGGTTATGTGACTTGAGAATGTGGAAACCTGTTAAGCTGGTCAGCTCACTGCACCATGTTCTTGTGTCTAGAAGTTACTAAGTCAAGAAGCTGCCATTTGTTATTTCCAGTGACATGCTGAGCATAGTGTATCTGCCGAAGCGTCTACCATGGAGCACAAGGTATCCAGGCTTATCACCTCCAGAGGAGAATGAGGGAGAGTCGCCTCCTCCTCCACTCAGACTAGTTCCAGGGCACATCCTGTTTATCCAGAGTCAGAGGAAATATAAGAATATAAGATAGGAACCATTTGTGTGAAATTTTGTCATAATTGCTGTGAAGTCATGAGTAATGGTGAAAAACTGTTTTCTGAGGTCACCATGACCTTGACCTTTGACCTTTAGCCACCAAATTCTAATCAGTTGTCTAGATGAATGGTTTTACCAAATTTGAAGAAATTCCCTCAAGGTGCTACTGAGATATCCACAAGGCTAAAACTGTGTTTTGTGAGGTCAACACACCCGTGACCTTTGACCTCCCCAAATCTAATCAGTTCATCCTTGAGTCCAAGTGAATGTTTGTGCCAAATTTCAAGAAGTTCCGTCGAGGCGTTTCAGATATCGTGTCCACGAAAATGAGACGGACGGATGGACAACTTGAAAACAAAATGTCCGCCTAAATTTATCACATGTAGTGTTTGAAATAAGTTGTAACAGAAGCTGAAAGGAAGCGCAGACCTCCACAACACCAGTGTCAAACCACATACACCAGACTTCAGAGAAAAAACAAACAATTCAAATGATCCGGATCTGCCTCAAAATAAAATGTGTTCCTGTGTCTCCTCCATCGTCCTCAGGTGTTAGACGGTGCAGGACTCGACGTGGATTTCTTCATCTCCTCTCCCTCTGGCCAAATGCTGTTCAGTGACTACCACAAATCAGATGGGGTGCACACGTAAGTCCCACAGGTTCAGGCTCACTGTCATTTCCACACACAGGTAGATCACCTGTAAGACATGAACTCAGCTCTGACTGCCTCTCTCTGCTGCAGCGTTGAAACGGAGGATGGAGACTACATGTTCTGCTTCGACAACACGTTCAGCTCCGTCTCTGAGAAGATCATCTTCTTTGAGTTGATCCTGGACAACATGAACGTCGATGAAGAGCCAGACGACTGGAAGGAGTATGTTCACGGGACAGACATGCTGGACATGAAGCTGGAAGACATTATGGTGAGTGTGCAGCCAGTGTGAGAGAGAGAGGAAGTGATGTCACTGAACATCAGCACGGCTGTGATTGGGTCGTAGGTACGAGGCCGCAGGAGCTTTTATACAACAGTTCTACCAGCGCCATGTTAGTTAAATAAACAGATTATGATTCAGACCAACACAAATGGTTCTGCACCTGGATGGTACTGGACTGTTGCTAAGCAACACAAACATTTTCCTGACCTGACGATGTCATATGAGCTCACCTGGAGGTGTTCCCTCAGGATCCACCTTCTTCCTTCATCCTCTCCTGACGACATCGTTTCATTCGAACCTTATTTCTGAAATATTTTCATCTTTGTTTGTTTCAGTCTGAGATCGATAACGACGTTAATGTGACGCTGATTAACGGCTGATAGAACAGCTGTGAGGAGGAGTGATACGTGGAGGGAAAAGTCCCAGTGCTGTTGTTCTCTATATCAGCACTGATGGGATGACTCCGTCCAATCAGATCACTCGGTCTGAACTAACTGTTGTATAAACGCTGACATCTGACGTGACACGTGTTTGTTCTGACTTTGAGCCTGAGTGACAGGAAGAAGTTAAAAAAGTGGTTTTGTTTCTTCAGTGTTTCAGACTTTGTCCCTCTGTCAGCTGTTGAGACATTTGTCTCGGTGCCACCTGCAGCCACAGGAGGACACAGGGCAAAACGACCCAGCAAACACACTGCCAACTAAATAGATTGCAATCCACCACATACAGGCTCAGTCACAAGGAGAGTGTCACAAGAATAGACAATGTCATGAACTCTCACCTATTGGCTGAGGGCAGCCAATTGTTTCAGCTTGCACCACAACAGCCTGCCCCGCCCCCCCACCAGAAACAGCCTTCATCTGTGTCAGAAGTCACTTAAAAGACAGGAAATCTGTGTTCCAGCTGTAGAGGAAGTTGTTTTCTCGTGGTCGAGGGAACATACCTTATTTAGCTGCTTTGTTTTCATCCTCCAAACTTCCCCGGAGAGACCTGGCCTGACAGTGTAGCTGAAAGTCTGACCTGTGTGTCTCCTCTCCTTCAGGACACCATCAACAGTGTGAAGGCTCGGCTGGGTAAGAGTGTGCAGATCCAGACGGTGCTGCGGGCGTTCGAGGCTCGCGACAGAAACCTCCAGGAGAGCAACTTCGACAGGGTGAACTTCTGGTCGGTGGTAAACCTCGTCGTCATGATGTTGGTGTCGGCCGTGCAGGTCTACCTGGTCCGCTCGCTGTTCGAAGATAAAAGGAAAATTCGCACATAACACTGCTCCACGAGGAGGGACAGAGAGAAACTAACCCACACAGACCTTCTCCATCTCCAGGCTTGTGACTCTTAACACAAGATGTTGTCTACACACATACACATGCATGCACACATATGCTGACATACTGACGTTCTTGACAACACAACTGTTGCTCTGCTCTTCAGTCCACTGGAGTTGGAGGGACAGCAGGAACTTAAGCCTGTCAGCACCTCTCCTCTGTAACCTCAGTCTGTTTCCTACAGGAAAGTCTCTGTCTCTCTGTCAAACACATGTTCATGTTCTTCAGTCCCTCCTTGCTGCTGTTAGTCTTCAGAGAAAGTGACATCACTGGCACGACTATTTTTCTAACGGAGCCTAAAATCATGAGGCCAGTGGCCAACTGCAAAAATGTCCTTTTTTCTTTGGACATGTTTTTATTTGAGTGTGAAATGAAGAAAGGGTGTCTGAGGGTTTTTTATTTGTGTCAAACAGGAGTGGGAAGTGCAACCAGTCTGACAGCATGTCTTCCCATTCATTAGCTACTGTTACGGATGAACCTCACTGTGATGCCTTAGTGGTTTGTACTGAGCTGCCGCTCTGTGAGGCCTTTGACTTCCTCTCCCCATCGTCATGAACACAGTCACTCGCTCTCTCCCTCTGACGCCAGGACAGAAGTCAGGTTTGAGGTAGGGCCGTGCAGCTAATGCTGCTCTCTGGCACCGAGGGAGCGTGAAGTAAGAGACAGAAACGGGCCACCTCCAAATCTCGACCCCACCCCAGGACGTCTGCTCTCCTCTGGCCGCCCTCCGCTGTGACGCCTCACAGCTGCTGGCGGGTGTCTGCTTACAGCCACCTACTGCGTGAAGATGTTGAGCCCGCCTGTCTCTCTGGTGACAGAGGTCTATTTCTATCTTACTGACACCCGCAAGGTCATCACCGCTTCGACATGAGTGCTGCTCAGTTTAACGTGCACGAGCCGTTCGCTGCCTCAGCGTTCTTTTAAAACCCTGGTGTCTGTATTTGATCTGATATTCACATTTCTTATGTTACAAGCTAACATCTGTTCACTGCCACTGAAGCCACTGAACAACAGACTTTTGCTTTTTTTTTCATATTCTTAGAACATAATTTAACATTTTGGGCCCTGAAGTGTTTTTCGGATTATCTGGCCCCCCCAGTACGGTGGCCCTGAGAGCTCAACACACTGCAACTTAAAAAAAAACATGCTGCAAATTCAGCCCCACAACTCAACAGGAAGTGTTTCCAGGGGACACTAAACAGTGATGAACCTGGCTGTTACTTGCTGTTCAAAGTCCAATTGTGACTTTTGAAGTTAAAAGCTCTGGATAACGAGCGTCCCTCCCAGAGAAGAGAGAGAGTGGTACACAGGATAACACAAGAAACACTTCCTGTTGTGTTGTATGACTGACTTCTCAGCGTGTTCGTGTCTTCGTGTGTGTTGAGCTCTTGGGGCCACCGTACCCCAGAGACGGGTCTATGATCTGTGGGTGAAGGACTGGTCAACAGGTTTTTATCTCATTGGTTGTGTGTTTACTTTAAGATGTGATGGTGACTGGTGGTTACAGTTTCTGAGAGAGTTTCTTTTATTGGTGTTTTCTGAGCTCCACAGTTGAAGCCCGGCTGCTCTCTGCTCTGGCCGGAGGCGCCGTGTCTCCATCGTCTGAGGCCTCCCTGTGCGGTGGGACAGACATCAGACACTGAGTTCATGCCTTCAGACTTTAACACTTGTGTTCAAAGTGCTGTGAAACTGAACCTTGAGCAGTGTTGTTGTTTTTAAATGATCCAGTTTTGCCATACAGTATGTGTGTGTGTGTGTGTGTGTGTGTGTGTGTGTGTGTGTCACCCTGAGTGTTGTGGGTGCCTGCAGTGACACACAGGATGGGTTCATTGTTTATTACCACCCTCTCCTCCTCGGCCCAGCTCGCCTCACTGTGGTACATGTTTAATGAAAATACTGTTTGTTGAGATTCTGTTGTATAAGTGATTGATTAGTAATTTAAAGTTACAGCTGATTCAAGTGCGTCAGAGCTCTACAAAAATAAAAGACCACAACATTTAAAAATATATTTCTATGTTACTGAGTAGTTTCTGATTTAACAGCCTCACTGTTTAAATAAATAAATGGTTTCTACTGCCCTGATGGAGCCGCGGGGAGAGTGAATGTGACGTTACATGATATTTATTCAACTAATGTTCTGTAGTTGCAAATGTGTATAAATTAAACAATCATACATTTTTCTGATCTCCGTGTTGTGTTGTGTTCCTCCTGAACAGAGACCTGTATGTTTTCTTTGTGTGATTCACTGTGTGTGGAGAGGCGGTGCTGCAGATACCTGCAGGAGAGCTGCAGCTGCTCAGGTGACATCACACAGCCTCTGGACCACCTGCTGCCGTCTTCTGGACCCGGTGGTGTAGAGACGTGATGTTGAGACACGCCTTCAGTGCAGACACAGAGACGCCTGCTAAGCACAGCGGACACATCCCAGAGGAGCTGCAAGTAAAGACAGTGGCATTGGGTCTTATATGTTCAGGTCACTGTCATCTGACAGTATTACACACTGACTCGTTACACTTACTGGCCTAACCAGTGCGCTGTGGGTGATCCCGTCCGAATGGGAACTGAAGTCTGCAACTGGAGTCAGAGAAAGACTGTAAGAGACCTCTCATCATTGGATAACACACATGCAGCTACAGTATGTGGGTGTCATGTGATAGGGTGACCAGACGTCCCTGTTTTCCGTGGCCTGTCCCCAGAAATGTCCCGTTTTTAACGGTGAATTAAAACAGACCGGAAAGACACTTCCTGTCCTGATCCTTAGAAACTGCTCTTGAAGCATTCTTGGTTTTCACAGCAGCTCCGTCTGTCCAATCTAGACTAGTGCCAGGGGCTGTTACTTCACTTAATCCAAGAGGTGAGGTGGTGTAAAGGTGGAGGACATCTGTTTTAAATCACAATGTTTTTCATCTTTCCACGTTTGCTTTAAAACAACCAGGTGAATCCCTCACAACAGTGACTCTGATATCTGTGTAATAACATGATGGAGTCCCTCAAAAAGTCTGTAGGACCCCCCCCACACACACACACACCCCCTCCTCAGAAATCCCAACTGAACCTGTCTCCAGCCAGTTTATTACAGTTACCCTGGTCAAAATACATGAAACCAGGTTTGTCCCCATTTTTATTTCATAGATAAAAACATTAGATATTTGAATGATTTATTGACCTGGGACTGGAAATGTCCCCGGTCACCTTAATGTGTGATGCGTGGCTGTTTTCTCAGATTCAATCCCACACCAGGTTTCTTTGTGTTTCTCTGTTGGTAATTACCAGCTGCTTCGACCCCGGGCTGGGGAAGACAGGTCTACTGTCTGAGCGAGCCGTCACACGGGGGACAGGAGGCTGAGGTCTCTGCACTGGCACACTGCTGTTTGACAGAAGGCTGTGAAGGTTATTGATCTTTACACAGTGACACAAACCCTGAGAATATCTGTGTTGAAATGAGAGGGTACCTCGTGGTCGGCCAGACGTCAGCTGTTCTCATGACTTCAGTGGTGTAGGGGCCACAGATGTTCAACACAGACACCTGGTGAGAGAGCAGGGTGAGGTCATCAGTGTTCAGGTGATCAGTGCAGCTGTATGTATACACTGCGTCCTTTTTTTAAAAAATGATTTAGTTCATCTTGAAAATAAAATGGTGACCACATGAGACCCTGTCTTATTTTCACTGCATCCACTCTGATGCTCTGAGTCTAGATTGAAGAGCAGAGCAGGAGATGAAGGAGTCTGGTGCTTTGATGTTGACACTGCAGATGTGGAGCTGATGAACTGATGCGGAGGTCGTTCTATAAGAGTCTGATGTAACGTCCAGGCGCAGAATGAACCTCAGGAACACTTTGATTTTATTGTCTCATGAGGTTTTGGATTGTTTATTGCAGCAGCTTGGTTTGGTCCTGCTGTTGCATATTGTTATTAATATCTTCAGGAGTGAAAACATGATGCTGCTAAATGAGGAAACCTGTTGCTTCATGTCGACATTTACTGCACGTTCCTCTGGGATATTCAATGTAGTATATAATAGTATATTGTAGTAATTTAGTTTTATTATTTATTTATTATTATTCATGCCTGTTGGTTGGTCTTTAAATGCACGTGGGAGGTAATCAGAGGTGTATTGAGGTCTTGTGTTTTAACTTTAGCGCTGGCCACGTGCGTTTATACGAGACCGACAGCAGGGGGCGTGGTGAGCTCAGGTCAGGAGTTTCACTTCCGGGATAATGACAGGGTGAGAGTGCAGCATCGGCGCTGGACACATCCCATCACAGGTAGGTGGGAAAAACCCTTAGAGACGTTTGTGGAGACGCTCCTGTAGATTGTCAACACGGTAATGTTCATGATCGCACACACTCACTCACGTGACGTGACGTATCTGCGCTTATTGTCGCGTCAAACCCGGAAGCAGCGGTAGTCTCGCTGCAGCCGGACAACGATCACAACACGGTTAACATCCGCTCACTTGACCGCAGACACGACCGTCCAGGTGGGATTCAAGACCGACGATCACTCGGCACCGTCCCAGCCGTCGACCACTTCATTAATGCAAGGATTCTGTTATATACTAGCACATAGCTCCTTAGCTTCAAGCTAACGAACGCTAGAGGCTAACGCTCCTCTCATTCATAATGAAGGAAAACGCATTAAACTTAGTTTCGTTGTTGTCCGGTTCTCTCAGTCTGACTGATGTACAGTTTTCAATCTGGCTGTAAAGTTTGGCGCCAGGTTTCCTGTGGGGATTTAAAAAACACCTGTAACTTTAGAAATCTGCTACAGGTAAACTCAAAGCTGAAATACTGAAGCTGTAGAAACTTAAAGACAGGACCTTTGTGGTATTTAAAGCTGCAACAGTTCGTCAGTTAATCAGTCAGTCAATTGACAGAAAATAAATTTTGATGATTGAATTATAGTTTATTTTCTTTTGTGTGTCAAACACTTTGATTCCAGCTTCTCAGATGAGTGGGTTTGATGCTTTGTCACAGAAACAGTTTCTATCTGCTGGTCTGAAGACATCACCTGAGACTGTGGGAAATGACTGTCTGTTATTTCTGTCATTTTATAGACAAAACAATTAACTGATTAATCAGAAGAATAAGTGATTGATTAATAGATGATGGATAATGAAGATATTCATTAATAAAACTGCACCTGAGGTTATAAGATTATGGCTTTTGTCAGTTAATATTTTTTTAATGCTGGAGATTTGAAGGAAAATGTCAAATGAATGATCACACACTAGATGATGCCCAGGAAGTCTGGTGGTGTGTTTGGGGGTCTCGTGTGTTTGGTAAAATAATAGTAAATGTGGGATTTTAACTCCACCAGTGACTTTGAGCTCACAGATGTGTTTGTGTTGGGTCAGGGTAATGGGACCGGACAGCGCCCCGGGTCCGGCTGTGCCCTGGCAGAAGGTGCTGTGGGAGCGCCAGCCGTTCCCTGATAACTACGTGGACCAGCGCTTCCTGGAGGAGCTGCGGAGGAATGAGGGCCTGCGGCAGTACCGCTACTGGGCTGTGGTGAACGAAGCCGGCTTCGTGGGACAGCAGCTGTCCTGTGTGGCCATTTTCATCACCCTGTGGCTCTACATGGAGCAGGTAAAGCTTCAGAAAACCTGTGACGTCGTAGAGCTCGCTGTGTCTTCACTGTGTGGATTTATGATGAACCCACGTCTCTGCTTCTCTCTCAGGGTCTGCTGTCCCCGGAGACGCTGCTGTCTACCAGCCTGGTCTGCGCCCTGCTGGGTTATGGACTGTACCAAGTCTTGACATCTTCTGGTGAATCGGGCTGCGAGCCGCGCACCCGTCTGGCTGACTTACAGAGCGCCACCATTTTCCTGTCCTTCACTTTCGGCTTCTCGCCGGTTCTGAAGACATTAACGGAGTCCGTGAGTACGGACACGGTGTACGCCATGTCTGCTATGATGTTGCTGGCCCACCTAGTTTCGTTCCCTTACGCCCAGCCCTCACCCCCGGGCAGCCTGTCCCTGAATGCGGCCCTGTTTGCCTCCGTGTGTTTGGCATCACGGCTGCCCGGCGCCCTGCACACCTTCGCCATGCTCAGCTGTGCCCTGCTGGTGTTCGCCCTGTGGCCGTGTCTGCTGCAGAGGCTGAGGGAGAACGCCCCCAGCCAGTTCACTGGGGTGTGTGTGGGAATGTGTGTCGGGGGAGTAGGAGGCCTGGGCTCCCAGTGGCTCGGTGGAGCCGTGCTGTTGGCCCTGGCCCTAGGAAGCGTTACATTACTCTGTCCCTTACTGCTCGTCTGGCTGCAGAGACACAAGGACAACATCCACGGACCCTGGGACGAGGCTGAGATTCATGAAGACCTCAGCCGCTTCCTTCACTAACATACCTGACCAGAGATGTTTGAGGTGTGAGCCAACTGAGAATTTTATATGAATGATTAATGGTCGGTGTAAGTATTACGTTGGTGATGAACATCTTTTCTCATTGATCTGTTTGAACAGCCATATGAAAACATTTTAATGTTCAAGCTGCTCCTGTCTTCTAAGTGTTGACCTCAGAGTTTGTATTGAGGGCGTCGACCAGTGTGTGATACTGACGTACATTACTGGACACACTCTGATACTATGCACCAGTTTGATATCAGTGATGATAATAATGTGTGGGAGATGTTGTGTGTAACGTGTGTGTGAATGGATGGATGCGTAGTGTTAAACACAACCGGCTCTGATTCCAATACAAACTGTTTAAATTAAATATTAGTGGAATTTTAAGATTACAAAAGTTTCATTAAAAGATACAGTATATTTACTTTTCTACCATAAGAGGCTAATTTTTACCTGGACCACAGGTTACTGCAATAATACAATAATAATTAAACTATATCCTCCACTTTTACTGCCAGATGAACATGAAGCTCATTTCATCGATTTAAAAATTTGGCTGAGAAAACACAGAGGGTGACAGGAGCTGTGAATTTTGAAGACACTAAAGTTTTTAAGTTGTATTTTGTATGAAGTTTAACTTTCAACAATGACATGAATTTTCACCTGAACCTGACTGCTCCTTTAATAACAATAATACATTTTATTTATAATCACCTTCCAAGACCCAAGGACACTTTACAAAGAAGATAAAAAACATTAAGGTTAAACATACAAGATAAAAAATAAATTGAAAATACCATAATTAATATATATATATATATATATTTATATATATATATATATATATATAATAAATTGCAAACACAGTAGCCTATATAAAGTAAGTAATATATAAATTTCTAATGTCTATTACACAGTTAAATCTGGGTTTAACCAGTTTATGTTGAACACAGGAAACTTTTTTTTGTTGTAGAGAAGCAAGAACAAGGTTTACATTCAGCATATACAATAGAAGGCTGGGGGAATTAATTGTAGATTACACAAAAATACATAAACAGGTACGTCTGTTGATAGTTTCACAAGCCTTTTTGTTATTGGGGTTAGATATTAATCTTATATATTGTTCCACATCTTTAACAAAAACATTAGAATTTTGCTAATAAGATAAATACATTTATTATAAAAAAGTATTTAGTATTAAGTATTAGTAAGTATTATTTTCTAAAGCAACAAAACACCACATTCTCCCAAAATAAAGCAAAATCCCCCAAAAATATGGTCAATGTCAAATCTGCTGAAGTCTCTCCAGAATTTTTGAGTACGAACAATTTTCAGAGTTTGTAATTATGTCTCTTGAATTTTAACATATAATGATTGGCAGGGTAATATTTATGAATAATTTTAAAAGACACTTCCTTCACCTTATTTTTAAATCAAGTATTAATGAGGAATCACAGGAACTGCCTCTGTGCTGCTCTCAGGTCTGTCAACCACGCTGCATTCCCGGCCACGCCCCAAACAGTGACGTCGCAGCAGCCGGACCTTATTAGATGTTGTGGCTTAGTCAGCTGATGAAAAACACCTGTTGAAGTGATCTTGCCGCCTTAAAAGCTCACTCTGAATCCTTTCACTTCACCTGAGTGTCTCTAACTGTTTGCCTCTGTAGTTGAACATTCAGTGTGAAGGACTCTGGAACTGTTGTGTTTACTTTCAATTTTTAGTTTTTGTTTCAATATATTAACCATTTATATTTATTATATATTTTATTTATTAATTACCAACTACATGCTTTTAGTTTTTCTTCTTCTGTTCTGGTTTTCAGTGCAACATGAGAACCCGTGTGTGGCCGTGAACACAGCAGAGATAATGTTAAACCGAGTGTACTCTGTATAACCGCAGCAGTGTGCAGTGGGCGCTAGGTGTCATACCTCCATCACTTCTCTTCCCGCCTTGGTACGGAGGGTGGCGCCGTGCTGTGCGGCCGCTTTGGACCGCTGCGTTTGCGCCATGGTGTCAGCAGCAGACGAAGCCCGAGTTTAACACAGAGTTCAGTCGAGCTGCGTGAGTCTGTGCGTCCTCCTCACTACCACACACACCAGAGAGTGACATCACAACACACGTCACACAGACTGAGTGACGTGTTGATTTTCCTGTGTAGTTGGATGTTGATTATTTATAGACAACACACTGGTAACGAAGCATACGAAAGGGGTTTCCTGGCGCTTTTTCCAGGGAGCCAACAGAGCTGTTAAACCTATGAGCTGTGGCCCGGTTCAGGGGCCGCGTCCTTCGGAGGACCCGGTCTACAAGGCGTGGCCCCTAGAAGGCCAATCCGGGATAAGACGGTCTGGTCTACGGAGGATTTGCGCTGTGCGTCACCAGCTCTTCCCGCCGTTACTGTTGTGTCGCCTAGCAACCTTGTCAACATGTAACTTTTTCCACAAAATCTTTTTGTTTTAAGTCTCTTGGTTTTAACAGTTGCGCCATTAGCTACTGAACTGAGCTGAAACACAATACTTACATTTAACCCTGGCTCTGAATCTTGGGACAGGTTGGGCCCAGGAAAAGAAGGCTGCATCTGAAGGAGCCTTCGAAATGGGACAGTCTAGTCGCACCGCTGTGATGCAATCGGCCCCTGAATTGGGACAAAGATATAGTGTTTTTAACACTCAACAAAATACATGTGTTTGGTGTCTAAGATTACATCTGATAATTAAGCTTCAATATTATTATCTACAAACCTGAAACTGAGCAATCCTCATGTTTTAAGAATCCCTTAAACGTCTGTGGTCCGTGTTCATCCCTGAATTCCAGTTTGCAGTCAGTACACTGATACACCATTCAATACTAACTGAATTCAGCAAAGGGGAAACACTGCAGAGAAAAAATATCGGTACTGCTGCCAAAGAAAACTGATCCTTTCAATCTAACAAATAATAATTGGTCAGGATACCTGCTCAAAAATAAAACACCTGTTTATTCACAAACAGTAAAAATAGTGCATGTGTTCTCTTTCATTAGAACAGCTCAAAAATGAAAGTTTTATTTACACAAAGTTCAGGCACTTGAGGAAAGTCAGCAGACAGTGGAGCACATTCCTTCAGTCATGGCCAGAGATATTATGAACAAAACAGGCTGAAGACAGAGTGAATTCTGCAGACAGCAGCTCCCAGAGGAGACAGCAAGAAGCCCGGCAGAGAGCTTCAGCTGGATTACACATCACACAGGTCATGGGCGTCTCTGGGTAGCAGTCAGCTGCAGCTGGAAGGACCGCTGGGGCACATGGGTACTGGAGTTCTGAGCTGAAAGGACGGTTATTTCACATTTGGGATGGCTGGAGGTTGCCTCCTGGAGAGAAGATCAGATCAACGATATTAACATGAGGCTCAATATAATATAACCATGTTCACAGAATGTTAAAATACAACACATACCACCATCTAACAACTTTCACCAGGACAGAGGAGAATCCTCATTTCATTGTGATCCTCTGATCAGAAGTAGCTGTCTTTAACTTTCTTAAAAACAGACCTAACAAATCAACTACCAAAATAATCTCTGATCCCTCATCATCTCAAACTTTTTTCAAGAAAGTTTTTTCACATCAAAGACCCTAAACTGACACAAATCAGACCACGGACCCCCATCTGGTAAGGTTTGGTCCCAGGATCCCTCACCTGATAAGATCTTTGCTTTTGTTACAGGAAGTGTTTAAACCTATGACCACAAGTCACACTGTCTGTCATCGTGTCCCTTATTGAATTGTAGAGAAAATAAATGATTCCCCTTTTTGCTGGGCACCTGCATGACCCCCGGACCACTGATTAATACAGCAGGTGTGTGACACTCATCCGGACTTATACACTGCTTCAAATGTAAAGAAACTTCAGCTTTTTATGCCCATTTTATTCCTGTCTCCGCTGCAGCTACAAGACTGTGTCGGAGCATCAGTGAACATTTACCTGGGTGTGGCAGGTTTTAATGAATGAAGAACAGGGAGGAAACTGGTGAGTAAGAGTGAGGAGAAATGACTGGTTATCAGAGATTACTACAGGATAAAGAAGAGAACACCAAGGGTTGGAGAGATGTGCAACAAAAGAAAAAGTGAATCCAAATGTTGTACACTGGGTTCAGAGTTCTTCTCACTAATTTCAATGTTTATATATTTCTGTACTTGTTCAGATCTTTTTGGGTTTGCCAATGAGATATATAATATCTTGCTTGTTAAATATGTGAGGGCTTATATCCACGGTCAACAGACGATTCAATGATGAAAGTAAATATGAAGACAAGAAATATCGTATACAAGAACCTTCATGGTGAGAGTGAGAAAAGAGGCATGAGGTTGGATGGAAAGAGGGAGACTGTATGTGGGAAAGAACCTAAAGAACCATTGGAGAGCACAGAGGAAATGAGGCAGAGAGAAAAAGAAGAGAAAGGCCAGAAGCAGGGGAGGAACCAGTGAAAGAGGAGAAGTGAAGAAATGCACAAGAAAAAGAAGTCGGGGGGAAAAGGAAAAATAACGGTTATTGCATGAGGGAAACTGGGGAAGGCAATAAAACAAAATGCATGCTAAGAGAAAGAGGGAAAAGGAGGGATGAAGGACGGAGAGAGAGATGAAAACTTGACAGAGCGCTCAGCCTGTTGTCTCTGGCTCCAGTAGAAAGCTGCACAGAGAGAAGTCCTGTCTGCTGAGGCTGATGGGAAAGAGAATATGAGAAACACATTTTCCAGCAGACCCCCACCCAGCTCAAATAACAATTCCCTCTCCCCCTGTGCCTCTGGTGTGTTGGCTTGATTGTGTGTGTGTGAGAGTGTGAGTGCACACATGGCAGCGTATGTATGAGCGACAGACTGGAGGTCATCCTCCTGTAACAGGTCAGATTTCAGGTTTCAGTCACCTCGGCACACAGGGAGCACGGTTGGGCTGCTGAGGTCCAGCAGTGGGTGCAGTGGGTGCCCGATGAGCCTGGGGGGCAAGGCCTCGAATCACTGGCTTGGCGTCAGTCGCTGAGTTCTTAGGGAGTGATGGACTGAGGGGAGAAGAGGAGCTTCAGTCACAGGCTCTGTTTCCTGCATGTATCTATGTGTGCTCGTCTGTACCTGGACGACTGGATCCAGGAGGAGTCCACAGGTGGAGGCAGAGGGGTGGTGCAGGTGGAGGTGGAGATCTCTCCAATAACAGCCAGCGCCTCCTTCAGGGCGGCGTGTTTGCAGAGCACTTCCTCACGGTGCTTCTGCTGCTCTGGTGACTCATCCATCAGCGCTGAGCATTCTCCCAGAGCGTAGAGCTGCGCCAGGAGCTCCGAGCTAATGAACTCCTTCACCTATGGAGACGGATTATAAACAGCTGTGACAAGTCAAAACCTTAGACTGTGTAAAGTGATATTTTACTCTGAATTGGGATTATAAATTCTTATAGGGTGTTAAAGAACTTTTTGTTGGTGTGTCCTTTTCATGTCATTGGAAAATGTTCAAGTAGTTTGAAATGGAGAAGACAAAGAAACACAGACTCTAATGTCTGAGTTACAGTGAAGATGAACACTGAACAAGTTTGAGAGACAAAGACAGAGAGGGAGACGGACTCAACAGTTCAGAGTGTGGGCTGGATATCTTACACTGTTGATCATCAGGTGCATGATGGTCTTTGGCATTAAGTCTCTGATGGTCTTATAGACGATGCTCATGTAGGAGTCAACCAGGTTACGAATGGTTTCCACCTGACGCTCCAGCTGAGGGTCTGTGGAGTTCTCAGCTCCGTTTCCCTGTTTATCCACCTGAAGGACAGACACAGTCAGGAGGACGTGCACACTGTTCACAGTGTCCATTTGTTTTTAACAGGGGATGCATAGTGTGGTGTAATGTCATGTAATGCAGGGACTTCCTGAGATTACACAGCTGGTCATTTCATGCTCATGATGAAGATCTCTTCACACAGCTGATGTGTGAAGAGATGCGTGTTGCCAAATCTTGTCATCTACTCTGCTCGTGACAAGAAGAAGCTCAGAGCTGCAGTTACAGGAACAGAGAGCAGAACAGAGGGAAGACAAAGGAGGAGGTCAGGAGGAGTGGGTAAGAAAGAAAAGGGGGGAGTGGGTGAGGGACGGGGAACTGCTGATTAGAAACAGACTAGAACACACACACATACACACATATTGTAGTGACATCATGGGCCAAGAATGCTGCGCTGAGGAGCCAACGACGGAGCGAGATGGAAGGGGTGGGGGACTCGCTTTTTCACTTTGGCAGGGAAAGAGAAGGGGGAACACGGAGGAGAGGGGGGAGGGGTTATGGCCAGGCTTTAAGGTTAGCAAAGGCAAAAAGTGCATATGACACAAAGGTAAGGTGCAGACAGGTGCAGCTCCCCACAGCGAGGGTCAGGGAGGGGTTTAATGAGGTTGAAGTGGGGGTCGAGGCACTAACAGGGACTTTCTCAGGGTAGACTCCGGCCCGAAGCAGAGAAGCCTTCCAGCTGTCCAACTCCTCCTGGGAGTTACAGGCCAACTCCAGGCATTTGTAGTCCTTATACACGTTCCTGCAATTCATTGCAATATCGTTAGATGGGTCCAAAAACTACACGTCCCAGCCAGTAATAACAGAGTAATAAACACACAACCTCACACACCCTCAACTGTCACTTTACTTATATGAACATACAGCAGACACCAGAATCATACACTGCAACACGGACACACACACGATCCCATCCATGACGAGCGTGATCCAGAGCAGAGGTCTGACCTTTACTGATGTTTGTACTAGTGTCTCTGATGAACTCAGAGCCGGGAGCAGCCAGAGTTTGAGTCACAACGCGTGGGATCGTTTCAGCGGACCAGCGACGTTCTAGTTTAGCTGCGCGCTGGCTCGTCTTCCTCGCCATGTTCACGTCCAGTGGAAACAAAACAAGTCTCTCTGCACATCTTGTGGGAAGAGCGTAGTAGTGTGTCTGCAGTCTGCTGCAGAGCACTGTCACATGCTGCATCACTCACTGCCATCATCACTTCAGAGCCTATTATGAGTTAGCGTGCAGTGGATTTAAAACTGTCCCACGACCACATGGAGGATCTGGGTGTTGGCGTTTTCATTTCTTCACACCCCTCTTCACGCAGCTCTTGACCCACTCAGATGTTATTGGGAAAGTTGCCTTCATGTGTCACGTGCAGCTATAATAAGTTGTAGTCTGAGATTCAGTGTGATTCAGACAGATCAAGCTCCTACACAGCTACTGATGAGGGAAAATATCTCATTCTTTTTCTTTCCTGTATCGATGGATGTGTCAGAACTTTCTGCAACTGAACACAGAAAAAAACTGAAATAATTGTTTTTGGCCCCAAAGAAGAAAGATTAAAAGTCCGAGCTCACCTTGAATCCATGACAGTCAAACCAGAGATCTTGGTGACGTTACAGACTTTATAAATCAGCCTGTTAGTGTGAGTCAAAGGAAGATTTTAAAATCCTACGACTGTAGGTCTCTGGTCTGAACACGTCTCTGATCGACTTGTACGATACGAAGCATCCGGACCCTCAGGTGATCTGGGTCAGGGTCACTCAGTGTCCCCAGAATCAGAACCAGGTAAGCAGCTTTTAGTTTTCTGCTCCTCACCTGTGGAACGAGCTTCCTGAACACCTGAGATCATCCCTACCTGCTGCAGCTTGTTGTTAATGTCTTTATCACTGCAGCTTCCCTTTTAAAATGGTGTCTTAAGTTTCCTACCTGATCTTATACATTTAAACATTTTTATTTTTATTTATTCAAATGTGTTTTAAATGTTTTTAAATGCCATTTGAACGTCGTCTTAATGTTCTGTTCTAATCAGCCCTTTGTTTAGTTTGCCATGTAGAGAAATGTAAATGTGTCTTCATGTTGATCATTTGTAAGTGAGAGTGAGTGAATCAGACAAATTCAAATCAAAGTGATTGATCAGCAGGACACTGGTCACAGCTGGTCTACTGTACTGTAGGTGCAGCCACTCAGGTGGGTGTGGTCCCTGAATCACAGATCGAAACATCCAGAGTCCAACAGGTTGGGCCGGTCGCCCCAAAGTTTAGTATGATGATAGTATTAATATATGATCAACAGAATGTAAAGAAAGACGAGAATCACCTCCTCACAGTTGTATCCCTCCGCCACTCAGACTAGTTCCAGGTTACATCCCTGTTCATCCAGAGTCATATAAAATATTAACCATTTCTTCAAAATTTTGTCCTAATTCCTGTGTCACCGTGACCTTGACCTTTGACCTTTGACCACCAAAATCTAATCAATTCATCCTTGAGTCTAAGTGAATGTTTGTGCCAAATTTGAAGAAGTTCTGTTACTGAGAAATCACATCCACGAGAATGAGACGCACGTACGGACAACCTGAAAACAAAATGGCGTCCGGCTCTGACTGTCGCCGGGCGGACGAATAAAGAAAGATACAACCAGCACTTGCCTCTTGCACACATACATGTACCTACACAAAATGACCCCCCCCCCCCCCTTCATCTCCATCATCTATCTTCTCTCTTATTCATCTTTATCTCCTCCCTCCGTCACACTCCCTCCTCTGCGCTGCGGCACAGCCGAGTCAGAGACGAGCGCAGGATCTGGAGCGAGCTGGGGCCCATCTGTTAAACATTTTTTCTTTAATCACTCCGTTGTTTCTTTCCTCCTCGTGTTGTTCCCTTCTCACATTCTGAACACACAGCAATTAACCTCAAATATGTGAAAGCTTTGAGTGTGTAAGAAAGAGAGACAACAGAGAGAACAGAGAAGATCCAGAACCAGGCTGCAGCTCAGTCTGTGAGCTCACGGCCGGGCTAGCATGGGTGAGGCTAATAAGTCAGGGTGTGGTGGCTAACAGACAGGGAGCCGGGCCAAAGATGACAATGCTAGAGAGCTATTACACTAAGATCAGGACACTAACTTTTGTATAGAGCGGTGAGCTCTATATGAGGATTCATCACTGTCCCTCGGCTTCCTCCCCCAGCTCAGGAGGAATGTCTGCAGAGCCCTGACTGCTTTAGATTTGAAGAGTTTCCTGAGGTTTTTGATTACTGTCAGACAGGGACAAAACCACTGCAATGTCTGCCACACACACACACACACACACACACACACACACACACACACACATATGCAATACAGGAAAGAGAAAGAGAGTGAGGGCGGCAGGGAGGGGGAAGGGAATGGACGGGGGGAGGGGTGGGGGGGCGCCATAGGACAGACTTTGACACATTCCTGGCCAATGGCTCTGATACTCTCTCCCGCTTTCTTTCTCCTCTCAACCCTTCCAGTTCTTCACTCTCCCTCCTTTTTGTGGTGAGTCGAGCAATTCTTTCCAAACAAGAGCAGCCTCATCTCTGATCCAAGCTCTCTGGCTTTGATTAGCTGCTTAATGAGCCTGCCGTCGGTATGCTGTGGTCTATACGCACACACATTGGCAGAGGCACGTACACACATGTGCACTCACGCACATGCACACACAACTCCAGTTTGTGTGTCTGAATGCAGCCTAGCACAGAATTATAAACAAAGCCCACATGCTCTGGTACAATCAGCCAGGCTTTGGGTCGGCTCCAGCTCCTAAACACACTCTCTCTCTCGCTCTCTCTTATGCTCTCTCTTTGTCTCTTTGTCTTTCTCAATCTGTTTCACACACATAAACCCAGAACACTCAAACCCTGCCCTCAGCAGCCTGGCATCTACTCGGAGACAGAAAAAGCTACGCCCGCTGCAGCACCCACTGGATATCCTTTCGGTTCCGGTGGCAAAGTGGAATGGAGGAGGTCAAAAGAAGGGCAGAGCACCGCTCTGACATCTCCTCCCTTTCCTCCACCCTTGTAAAATATCACTAAAGGCAGGTGACAAGAACACAACTCCCTTTTCTGAGTCACACACACTCACTCACCAAACACACTCACACGCAAACACAAACCTTAACTCTGTGTTGAAGACTGCAAAGATAAATTTGCTGGACATGAAGCCCTTCTCCACGTCTCTGAGCTTTAAGTTGTCCAGAGGAAGCATATACTTCTTCTCTTTCTCCTGGAAGAGACAGAACACAGAGAGATAAAGTCTGACAGAGGTATGCAGAGTAAAATATGACATCGCAGAGAGGTAACACAGGTGTTGATAGCAAAACACAAGACTGAAAACAGTCCACTTGGGGGCTTTAGCTAAAATAGTTGCGTGTCTGTAGACGCAGGTGAAATATATTCACTTCCAGAGCAGAGAGTGGAGCAGGAACAGAGTCAGATGTGGAAGAGTGTGTGAGCAGAGCGTCAGAGTTCATATCAGACCATGCGTCTGTCTGTCAGAGCCACAACAAGAGAAAGAGACAATGAGAGACACAGAGGCCGTCAGTCTGCAGTCTGTCATCACCACAGAGACTCATGAATGACAGAGAACAGTTGGAGGAGTGGAGCGACCAGAGTGAGGAGAACCAGACAGAATGGAGGCAGGGTACAGAGGAACGAGGCAGGGAGGGAATGAGAGAAGGAGTATGAAAAAAAGAGGGAGAGAGGCCGGGCCCACATGTGAAAGTCATTACTCAGACTCAAGCTCTAACACAACATTTCTCCTAAAGTGAAGCCCTTCCCCCTCATCTCTCTCCCTGCTCCCTCCTTCTAACCTTTGAGGAGGGGGCTGCTGGGGGGGGGGGGGGGGGGGGGGGGGGGGGTGACAGGACCGACCATGATGAGGAAAAGAGATGAAGCAGAGATGTGACTTCCATAGAGAAGAGAACTGAAGACACAGAGGACGTCCTCAGAGTCCTGGATGTTGTCTTGTGCGTGTGTGTGTGTGCGTGTGTGTGTGTGTGTGTGTGTGTGTGTGTGCGCGCCTGCGTTAGCGCACGTGCACACATGTGGTCTGAGATGTGAGTGTGCTGGTTGTACATTTCCCTCTCTCAGTGCTCCCCTGAACCCTACGACTCTCTTCCCTCGTTCCTCTTTCCTTTTTTCCAAAGGGGCCCACTTCCTGTAACAGAGGCTGAAAAAAAATGACAGAACGCGATTGGCGCCCATCGAGCAACATCTGGGATCGCTTTAGACAGAGGGGGAGGAGACTGGAGAGAGTATAGGGTGCTCTGATGGGGTAGAAATAGAAAGTAGAGATGAGGAAGAGAGGAAGAGGAGGGTTAGAGGAGGATAGGAGGATAGAGGGAGGTGAGTTGTGCTCGAGTAGAAGAGGAAGGGTTGAGGAACATAGAGAGCAGGAGAGAGCGTAGGAGAAGTGGGGAGAAACTGCAGACCACTCCAAAGTTGATTCCCCATGGGTCCCATCATCCCATATATGGCTGCTGAGTTCCTCCCTAACTCGCTCTCCTACTCTCACTCCCCTTATTTCCTTACGCCTTCCCCAAGTGAACGGGCAGATCCCTCGCTGAATGAGTGAATGTGCCACGTCAAGACTGGATACTACGCCGCGACACAGCCCTGCGGATGCCTGACTCAACACCCGTCAACATCTCCAAAGGAGGGACACCCGTAGGACGGATGTCTGATGTGTGTGAGAGCCCTCGCCCAGCGACACAGCACTGACACAGGATAAGAAAGAAGAGAATAACAGAGGGAACCTTTTGCCGACTCCCCTCGCCGCGGGCAGGACTGTTAGCAAACAGCCAGAGGTGGAAAAGACGAGTCCGAGGAGAGAGTAAGAAAGGGTCCTGCTCCGTCATCCCAGTGTTCAGACTACCTGTTCAGGATCTTACTGGTGTACAGTAGTCTGCACATTGGTTAGACTGTGCAAGGAAGTGCTTCCACAGCAACACTCTGGACAACATGAAAACCTGCATGTGTTAGACTCTTCTATTCTCCCGTTTCTTGCAAATGGCTTTTAATGATCGTTCACTGTCACCAGCGTCTGTCTCTGATCAACCCTAACCGACTGTGTCATCCATTTTGTAGCATTTGTCAGCCTGAATGAAGAGTGTTGAAGACGTTTACAGACACAACATCCAACTGCAGAAACTGTAACTGGTGACTGACTCAAGTTTTACTAATATTCAAAACTTTACAGTCACTGTTTACAGGCTCCACACACACACACACACACACACACACACACACACACAGTATGAGGAGTTTCTGAATGTGTGTTTGTGTGGCAATATGATACCTCTTGTGTTCACAGACATCATGGCACTGCTTTGTATATGCATGTGTGTGTGTGTGTGTGTGTGTGTGTGTGTGTGTGTGTGTGTGTGTGTCAGGGCGGTTGTGAAGTCTCATACATCAGAGCTGTGGGGTCTGATGTGCTGTCTCCTCTTCCTATAGACTAACGGATTTGAGATACGGAACAGGCCTCACTCTCTCACTCACACACACACACACACACACACTCACACACACACACACACACACACACACACACACACACACACACACACACACACACACACACACACACACAGGGGAGTGTGTAGATTAAGTGTATAGGCATGAATGTCTGTTTTTCCTCAGGCTGCCTGGTGGAGCCCTGGCAGTGGAGGGTGGAGGGTGGAGGGTGGAGGGTGGAGGGTGGAGGGGTGTATGTCTGCTCAGTGCTGTGGAGATTAAACTGAATTATTGTGCTGCACCCTCAGCAGGAGGTCAGTGCAGGGTATAAGTGTTGTAGCACACAGGGAGGCGAAGAGCTGTTCAACTTTAANACACACACACACACACACACACACACACACACAGTATGAGGAGTTTCTGAATGTGTGTTTGTGTGGCAATATGATACCTCTTGTGTTCACAGACATCATGGCACTGCTTTGTATATGCATGTGTGTGTGTGTGTGTGTGTGTGTGTGTGTGTGTGTGTGTGTGTGTCAGGGCGGTTGTGAAGTCTCATACATCAGAGCTGTGGGGTCTGATGTGCTGTCTCCTCTTCCTATAGACTAACGGATTTGAGATACGGAACANGGGGGTGGGGGGGGCAACAGAGGTAAAGAAAGAGAAAATAAAGGGGAGGAGGGCAGCAGTCAAAGAAAAAAGAAATGTCTGTGGAGGTAGTGTGGGCGGGGAGAGAGAGAGCGGGAACTGCAAGAGAGAAGAAGCAGAAGCTTGGCAGCTCGACTTNCACACACACACACACACACACACACACACACACACACACACACACACACACACACACAGGGGAGTGTGTAGATTAAGTGTATAGGCATGAATGTCTGTTTTTCCTCAGGCTGCCTGGTGGAGCCCTGGCAGTGGAGGGTGGAGGGTGGAGGGTGGAGGGGGGAGGGTGGAGGGGGGTATGTC